TGCTGAAGCAAGGCGGCTACCTGTACAAGCAGCTGCTGGACCCCTCTCAGCTCATCGTGCATTCCGAAAACAGGTCTGGAATGATGGTGATTGCATACAATGTGCATTGCCGTGGCCATGCAGCTTTGAAAGTCGGCTGGTCAATGGCAAAATTGACAGAAAGTTACTGCATGGAGCTCAGCCAGAACACCCTGCGACGACAGGCCCAGCTGGATAGCATGCGAGCACTGGTGGAATCGAGCGACGGGAAGCTTGCTGGTGTTGCTGGCACAGAAAGGTTTGCGAGCCTGAGCAGCTCGCACATGTCGCAGTTTTGCAAAGCCGTGCGAAGCGGCTGCTCGTCGGAGCACGAGAGCTTGCCCACTGTGCTGGTTCTGGAGACCCTCGCCAAGAAGTACACGGACGAGCAGTTCGCCACGGCTGTGCGGCGGGGCTGGGTCTGGAACTGCATGAGTGCCTGTGTGGACGATGCAGTGGGCTGGCTTGCAGGCTTTCTGCAGCCTGAATGCCAGCAACCACATTGCTGGCCGGCTCACCGAGATGGAGATTGCCATGAACTTGGCGGCACACTACAAGAGAACGGGCTGCATGGATACTGCTGTGGAAGCATGCAGGGCCATGTGTGAGTTGGGCTACCTTGATGCGATTGCGGAATGGGTGAAGGAGTACACAGGAGGCGAACAGTTCGTGCTCATCTGGTCCGTGGCACGGCGGTGGTGGTGGTTTTACTACATGGATGGATGTGGCTGGTAGAATGCACACCTTCCGTGTGCCGGAGAAAACCAAGACCGGCTTCCAGAACAAGGTGGCCATGCTGGTGGGGTTGAGCTCTCTGTGGCGAGGTGGAGGAGCTGAGAAAGCAGCTCAATAGCCTGGCATCCTTTGTGCCCATCCAAAGTCAGCTTGCCGAGATAGTGGCAGCCCACAGACAGTATGGCTTGGAGGGCTTCACTATGTTGGGCTACTTGCCACAACCAGGTGGCCGGATGCCACCTTGAGCATGGTGCTGTGCTGGATGGAGATCGGCAGGCAGGCAAAGCTGGATTTAAAAAAGAAGAGCAGGCAAAGCTGGATGTAAAAAAGGAGATAGCACAGCCGTACTAAGGCTCCATGGTTCAGACTTTGCAGGCTCAGGGTTTGTGTAGAACAGCCTTTGGAGGCTATGCAATCATACAGCTTTTAGCTAGCCTTTGCAGGCTCATGTTGTGCTCAGCCTTTTGAGGCTCTGTCGGCAGGAGAGAAGGAATCTTGGAGGTTTCAGGTTTATAGGTTTAAAAAGGGTCTTTAGTGTTTATAGGGCTTATGAGGTTTATGGTCCAGGGCTTAGGGTCGTCTTTAGAAAGCAGCCAATCCAATCCCCACACACCCATGACCCACCCACCTGTGCACCTACCCACCCACCCCCCACCCACCCAACCACCCAGTCCCAACCCCCTTTACCCAATCATGCATCCTTCCATCCACTGCTTCCCCCCAACAACCGCCCACTCAGCCACACTCTCAGCAGCAAAGCAAAGCCCAGCATCCATCACCTTCGGCACAGGACCAAGCACCGAAACCTCAGCCAACACAAGCTTGCCAACAGGACAACCTTCATCAATTTTTGCAGCAACAGTTGGCCCAAAATTGCAGCATCACACAGCTGTATGTACGGAAACCTCAAAATGTGAGACATCAAACAAAAACGAGTTCAATTCAAATGTTTGAATTGAAATTTCGGCCAGGAAAATGTCAATTCAAAAATTTGAATTGAAATCCGAAAGCGCGGATTTTCAATTCAAATTTTTGAATTGAAAATCCGTGCTTTATATTAAAACCAAAAAATGTCAATTCAAAAATTTGAATTGAAAACCCAAAGCGCCAAATCTCAATTCAAATTTTTGAATTGAGAAAAACAGGCTCTGAATTTCAATTCATTTTCGTGAATTCACATTCCAAGCAGAAATCACCAATATATCGTCCAGCACCAGCGCCGCCGCCACCCAGCACCGGTCATGCACAACCCATCACAGCTGCACACCACCCAAAATCCACCACTGACTACCCAGCATGCAAGCCCCCAACACCAGCATCACCATCACAACCAACATCACTTATTCGACACCGGAGAGCACCGACCAGCTTTCACTCTGCCTGTACAGCGACGAGCTGTGCCCGCAACCCACTGTCTGCAAGCACCGGCAGGAAATGCTGGGTGATCTATGCTGGGCTGAAAGAAATGGGCCCTTTGCTGCA